TTAGCTGTTACATTGTTCCCTGTTGACCAGTTCAGCAAATGCTCTGGAAGGTTGGTGACTAGACACAGAGGTGGAGACCTGTGTGACACTCTGACTTGGTATCTCCCTCTGCAGGGAAAGCAAACCGAGGGAGGGAATTCACCCCCTGGGCCATCGTGTATCACTGAGCATCTACTAAGTTCAAGGGCTGTCCTCCATGCTGGGGCTGGTGGGACACACAGATAAGTAATGCTTTGGCTTGAAGGAACATGCAGTCCAGTGGAAGACCCCAAACTGGTATGACAATAATAAGCAAAAGCAAAACAACAATAACAAGCACAGTAGTCAACAAGATAGCAGAGAAGGAATCATTAGACTCATTTATGTTTTTCAGATCAAGCTGAGATTCAGCGAGCTCAGACAGCTTGTCCAGGTCTACACAGATTTGGGACCTCCCCAGGCTCTGTCCATCGCCCAAGCTCCGAGAGGGGCTGACTTTCTCATTCCCCACTGCTGCCCCCCATGTATCTATAGTACAAGAAGGGAGAGAGGAAGGCTGAGAGGCCAACGGTCATGCCATGGGAGCCTCAGAAGGAGAAACTACCTCCGGTTGGGTGAAGTTGGGGAGGGCTTCCTGGACCAGACAGGCTCTAGGCCTTGAAGGTTGCACAGGGCCTTCCTAGAGCCCAACCACATGGCCTCTCCCATGTGATCCTCAGTGAGCTTCCTTGTCCTTGGAAGTAACCTGTTCAGAATACTTTGGGAGGATGGTGATGAATGGTCTGTTGCCATGGTTGGACAACACTTTTGGAAAATCACCTTGTATTTCCTAGTATTCCTAGATTAGCTGCTCTGAGGAGAGATGATCACACTAAGAATAAAAGGAAAGGAATTCAAGTTTACCAGACGATTCGCCAAAGCATGATTCCTGAGACAACACAGCGAAAGAAGGAGACACAATTAGAGGGTGGACCTAACTAACTGAGCACGCATCAGATGGGGGCAGATGAAAGCTAGGGAGTCAGTGCTGTCTGGGGTCCCCAGAAAAGAGGGAAATGATAGCAGAGCTAATAGTTCTGCATGGATTTATAAGAAGTAATAACCTGGACCCCTTCTGAGCAGCGCTCAGGAAAGCCACAAGTCCCCATGGTCCCCTGGCTCCATTGCAACCGGGGAAGAAGGACAGCAGAATGGCTTGGCGGGTGAGGGGGCAAATGGACCAAAGGTCTCTGTAGGGCCGGTTTCACTGGCACCGCACCTGTGCAGTCTCAGAGCGCTCTGTGCTTGGCTTACGCCCTGCTGCTGCCACCCTGAAATGCCTAGTAGGTTCTGAACATCAGTGCCTGCGTTTTCATTTTGCACTGGGCCCTGCCGATCCTGCAGCTGGCTGTGGCTACCACTCAGAGTCCCTTTGGGTCCCCAGGAGAGAAGGGTACTGCTGTGTCACAGGTCTGAGGCTGCACCCGTGGCCTCACAAAGTTCAGGGAGCTCAGGAACAGCTAGGAGGACCAGAAGATGCCATGAGAGCTTGAGGCTGTGCACAACACCCCACCACAGCCACCTCAGCAATGCCACCTCCTAGGACTGCTCTGGCCCCCCTTGTTCTGGACAAGGCACCTCTGGTATAGCTGGAATCCTTTGAAAGGGGAAGAGTCCTCAATTGACCAAAATTAAGTGGCTGCCACTCAGAATAGGAACTTCAGATGGAAACTGAGCTCCTGGCTTTGTGGACTGAGACTTGTAACTCTTACAGCTATCGCTTGGCTACTTTGGTCTGGTCTTGTCCTCTGTTCTTTTTTTTTGGTACCGGGGATGGAGCTCAGGTCCTTGTGCTTGCACAGCAGGTGGTGAAACCACTGAGCTAAATCCCTGGCCTTGTCCTCTGTTCTTATCTCCCAGTGGTTTAAAGAGAACATGGAAGCCATTCCTGAGCCAATGCCTTGGCCAACGCATTTGTACTCTGCTACAAAGTCTTTGTCAGTGCTTCTGATCACCGAGGTGCTGCCTGGCTCTGGCCCACGGTCTGTGACAGCCCCAGCCTCAGGGGACCCACAGTAGACCCTGTGTGGCAGGACCTGCAGAGAATCTGCAGTTTCTCATCTGCAGTGCCCCTGGACTCAGCAAAGCCATGACCACTCCAGTCACAAGGAGCTGATGTATCTTCTGGCATTGTCCACTGTCTCCTAATGGGCAAAGTCACCTCTCGTGATTTCCAGTCTAGCATAGCCAGTTACTACTTGTTTGTCCTAGGATGAGTTATTTAACCAATGTGTCCGAGGCCTTTCCTTAGGAACAAGAGATACTAATTACAGAGATTTTCCTTGCAGCGAGAGGAGCAGTGGGTGTCCACAGGAGAACATTCTCACTGAAAGCAAAGGGGTCTTGCTAACATCTGCATTGCTCTGGTCAGCTCCTGTTAGAGACCAAGAGTGTTAAGGCTGGAAGGGTTAGGTCTTCCTCCAGGCCCATAACTCGTTTTATAATAGCACTCTTCCCTTTTACGTGAAAACATTCCCTCTGTGCAGGAAGGTCACAAATTCCACAGTAACGGTAACTCCGTGGTTGAAGATGACGATGCCAAGTGAGTGACCATACAAAGAGCCTGGCAAGAGCACATGTGACTTCATGGTCACACCACATTATGGGTATAGATAATACCCCTGTCTTATATGTGAGGAACTGGAGGTTCACACAAGTTTGTTCTTAACTCTCCCAGATCACATTGCTATCGCCCGAGTGTCTCCTTCAAGGTGTGAAGGAAGCTTGGTTCTCAATGTGGCCATGTTAAGAAGGGGTGAACCTCTAACGGGTGGAGCCTACCAGGCTGTCTGCATGTCACCAGGGGCCCTTAGGGCTGATACTGGTTTTAGGGTGAGTTGGTTGTTCTGATTGCCCCTCCCCAATCTCTGGCTTTCTGTCTCACCTTGCTGTCTCTCCCCTTGCAATGCACCCATCATGACACCATCTGCCATGATATGATGTGGCTTGAGGGGCCCTTGCCAGAGCTGGTGCCATGCTGTTTGGATTTTCCACTTCCAACAGTACGAGTGGGATAAACCCCTTGTCTTTATAGGGTACTCAGTCTCAGGTATTTCCTTATAGTAATGGCAATGGACTACAAGCCACACAAGTGGAGCACAATGTGGCATTGAGCTTGTGAGTTAGCTGGTGGTCCACTGAGGGACCATATTGTGATCTAGTGACTCATGTGCTACCTTCCCAAGGTGTGCTTCAGTGTACCATCAATACTATCACTTACTTAACACTTTTCTTTAAACAGGTTTACATTTTTAGCTTAAATACTTATAAAACACATTTTATAGTGCCACTCTAGGTTGAAAAGCTGCTTTGGCTGCTGTGCATGGAAGGGGAATGAGTTTTCACATTGGGAGTCAATGTTATTTAATTATCTTCAGTAATGATTAACAAGAATCGAAACTGAGCAACATGTGGATGTTCAGCTTCTTGTACTCATTAAATGCCCAATAAAATGGTCATGGAAAATCCTATGGTTTGGCTCATCAGCATCTGATCACACTGATTTCCATATATACCCCTTCCATGGAGGCTGAAAAATGAAATACTTTATCCCCTGCCCCCTCACAATTAGTGGTGGTCACTGACACTGTGGTGTTCAACAAAATACAAGGAATGAATGGCTCCTTCCCCGATGAAAAGGACACAACCTTGCTAGAAGTTATTCTTTCATTGTACCTCTCTTTCTGACAGCTAGGTTTGTGTCACATTGGCTGGGTTACAGCACTCAGTTAGCAACTAGCAGTATTCTAGGTATTGCTGCGAAGGTGTTTTATAGATTTGATTCAAGTCCACAATCATTTGGCTTTAAGAAAAAGACACTATCCTCTGTAATGTAAGCAGGACTTGTCTCATCAGTTGAAGACTAAGAGAAAAACTGAGGCTTATAGCAGCAGGAGAAATTCCACCTATGGAATGCAACCAGCTCCTATCTGTGAGCTTCTAGTGTGCTGGCCTGCTCTACAGATTTCAGGTAAACCTAGTCACACCTCATTCTTGTGCAATAAGTTCTCTCTTCAGATAGATATAAATCCAATAGATTATTTCTTTTCTGGCAGAATCCTGACTGGTTACCTTTGTTATGGTTTGTGTCTAGATGTCTCCCCAAAGCCTCATGTGGTCATAGGTGGGGCTCTTCAGAGGTGGCTGGATCTAGAATGTGTGATGCTGGGATTAAGTATGTATTTACTAAATTAGTCCACTGATTGGTTTGGCATAGATCTGGGTGTGGATAATGGGAAGGCCTATCCTGGGTGTGTGTGCTACCTGCCCTAAGGGTGTGTGGCCTGGATAGACTATGAGGGACAGAATATGAGGGGGCTGCTGCTGTCACTTGCTGCTTTGCTGCCTTCTGCCTGCCATGAACTGTTTCTCCTCTTCAATGCTCCTCTGCTATGCTCCCCTGTCTTGCAGCCAGCTGATTATGGACTGAAACAGCTACAAACTGTGAGCTTAAATAAACTTTCCCTCCTTTAATTTTGGGTGCTCAGCAATGAGAAAAAAGTAACTAAGACAACCTTCTTCTTTCTTTGGACAAGAGGCAAGAAGATGTATCCACCATCATGCTGCATAGATGACAAACATGAGGACCAGACATTGATGCTACAAGTGGAGCAGCAAGAATTGGGGAAAACACAGGTCTGTATTGGTCCCACTGTGTTTACCCACCAGCTTGGAAAGTCTTACCCTCTGGGTATTTTAATGTCTCTGAAGTAAGAATACATAGGCCAATCAATGACATCTCACAAAAATGGTAGCTTTATTGTTTTGTTTTCCATAGAGAACCCTAAAAATCGGCACATCTTCTAACCAGGGGCATCTTAGATTTAGTAAAATACAGCAACTACAAACCAAGTATTGACTTGAGTTAAGTTATGACACGTTGGAGCGTCTGACGCATGTGTGCATAGTTATCTCCCTGGGCTTGAAGCTCTGAAACAAGTAGCTCCAGAAAAGTATTGCAGTGGGCAAGATCACCTTCACCAGCAATGTGCTTTCTCCTCCCTATGCCCTCTTGCAGCTCAGCCACTGTGTGACAATGAACATTTCTTTTAAAACAAACAGAGTCTTCATATGCTCGCATTTTACCTGAAGAGAAAATAGAAGCTTTTCCAAATCCTGTCACTTATCCCATGGAATCCACTTTCCCAGCTTAATGTAGGCTGAAATAAGTTTTTTTTTAAACTGATGAAAATATTATAGGAATTAAAAACCAAGCCTATTAATATCCTGATTAGACTCCCTATGTTAATTGTGGATTCTTTCAGGCAGCAGAACAGGTAGGTCACAGTCTGGGCTTAGTGTGATAGTAGTGTTTAATAAGAGCCACTTTTGGAACTGCAGTTTGCAGCTAAAACTTTTGTCACCTGGCAAATGAGGATTCAAAGTGATTTTCCCCCTTATGCTTACAAGGAGTAACAGCAGCTTCCCTGAATGCTCCCCCTGGGGAAGGGCAGCCCAACTGGAAGGAGGGAGCCAGGGCACCCACTGGCTCCACCCTTCTCTGCAACATCAGGATAGGCCTCTTCTTCCCCTCAGAGAGGGGGTGAGATGGCTTCACCAGGAAAAGTGAGGCAGGAGATTAGGGCATAGCCAGCTGGCTGGCCAAGTGGCTATGACCCGTGAATCACAGAAATTCGGGACACATGTGCCCAGGCCCCACACCCGGGACCAATCAGAGAATGCTCTCTTCAGTTCTACTGCTGAGATCACGCATGTTTTTGACAGGATGGCCTAGATCTGACATTGGCCTGAAGAGCTGGGGACACCAACGACATCAGCCGTTAACCTCGTGGCCATGTGTGGTCTTCCAGAGACACACTCTCAGGCTGCAGAGGATATTTCCTTTCTACCTTTGATAAATGTAAAACCTCACTACTGTACTTTTGGCACATGTTTTGACCAAGTTTTTGTTCAGGACAGTAAGAACCTGGTTCTAGAAGGACCCCACAGTACCCAGGCCCTGGTAACAAAAAGAAATGATGAGAGGCAACTCTTCTAACAGAAGAAAATTTGGAGATTCTCATGAGTGAGATTTCTACCTCCTTTGTCCATGGGTCTGGGGCAGGGGACAAAACCAAATGCCTACAGCATCCAGAGAGGGCTGGATGACGACAGTGGGGGACTGGGGGCCTTGATTCATCTTAAGAGACCTGCCTCACTTTGCCTGTTATCCTGGTCTTTTTATTTATTTATTTTTGGTGCCAGGTATTGAACTCGGGTCCTTGTGCTTGTGAGACAGGCGGTGGAACCACCGAGCTAAATCCCCGGCCCTCCTGGTCTCTATGTAAAATGCAGCCAGAGACCAAGCCCCTTTCACCTCTCAGTGTCCGCATCCTGGTCCAAGGCCGCAGCCGATTTGAATGGAGACCGAGTCTGCTTCCCAGAAGTGTCCAGATGATACCGTGCTGCATGCGTGGAAATGGCCCTTTGTGAACCCCATGGTGTCCTTGTCTCTTCTGGTTACAGCAACAGCCTCCTAACTGGCCCCTAGGAGCCTACTCTCACCTACCTACTTACTATTCATCCTCAACACACGGTCCTTCAAAATGGGGGTAAACCTACATCACTTCCTGGTTCGAAACCCATTACCTGGGGTAGCGTCAGACTCTTCCCAGTATCTCTACAAGGGCCCAAGTAAGCGAGTTGCACTGGGTCTGCACACAGGTGTTAGATTTGCCTGTCACATTCTCTCTTCCTCCTTTTGCTCTAACTTCATGTCCTCCCAGTCCTCTGCTTCAGCCATACTGGTCTCCTTGCTCTCCCTAGAACAAGCCAGGCATATGGTCACCTCTGGGCCTTTGCACTTGCTGCTCCTCTACTTGGGATGCCCTTTCCCCGTGTCTGCATGGCTTCCACGTACCTGCCCAGGTCTTAGCTCAAATGACCCCTTTCCCAGGGAGGCCTTCTCCAGCCACACTGGTGAATACCAGACCCCTCAGCACCACCTAATCCCCTCCCACTGTTACTTTACTCCCACTTTACTTTCCCAGCCTTCCTGTGTCATACACTGTTGGTTTGTTATCCATGCCACACCCTTGGGAGGCAACATTCCTTAGGGCAACAGCTGTGTCTACTTTGTTCACCTCTGTATCAGCCAGTGTGGAGCTGAAAGAGTGGATGCATGAATGAGTGAGCAAGCAGGGGCCCCGAACGAGCAGTCCTGACCCGCAGAGCACCTGGATGCTCAGCCTTCAGACTTCTGTCCACTGGCCGTTCAGTCAAGAACATGGCGGTGCTACATGGGCCAGACTAGAGATTGGTTTTCCAGTGATGTGGGCCTTGGGCAGGGGCTTTTATCCAGTTACCAAGTGAAGACAGGACAGTTTTCCTAACCCTGCTGGAGGTGGAGTTGCTACCTCTTGGGAGGAAGGAGATATGACTGTATAGACAGCCAATCTCCTCCTCCGCTTTTCAAAAACTGCTCTTTGTCATTGGTCTTCAAGGACTGCAAAGAGTCTTTTAATCAATAATCTAGCTTTTTTCTTTACATAATATTCAACTCTATCAGCTGGTCTGCTTATTTGCTCCCAAGATTAGGAAACTCAGCACATTCTGATCTGATTAAAGCGTTTTATAATCACAATTTGCAAAACTCTGACTATTTGTTCAGTCAACAAAACCGTAAGGGTCTACAACACAGGAGGCCTTGTTCTAGAAGTTGGGATTACACCAGTGGGCAGACACAAGGCACGTGTGCCCTTGTGAAGCTTATAGTGTAGAAGGGGAAGACAGCATTTGTCCTGAGGAATCCGGGGACGGAGTCTCCCACACATGTGCAGTTGATGCAAGAATGGCCAGGCAGATGTCAGACACAGCGGTTTTGTAGGCCGATGATCCTGAAGCAGATTTTGTTTCTGTGAGGCACCGGAAACAAACTGTTTCCCCTTTCACATGATGCAGCTGTGAGGGCTCTTAAACGGCCGTCAGATCTCCGGAGCGTCTCATCTCACAGGTAAAGGTCTCTGAGTGCAACCAGGCAGGAAAGGAAATGCTGTCACAGGAGCTGACTGCTTGGTGCAGCCCGACACCCTAACACGCTGCTGAGGCTTTGTACGAAGCTCTGTTAGCCTCTTTGGTCTGTTTGGCTTTCAGCTTTGTTCCTGCACCCCTCGCTCCTCTGTCTGTCTGCCTTTCTCTCCTCTCCTTAGCAGCTCTTTCAGTAGCTGAGAGAAGGTAAGGGCCCTGAATATCAGTTTATTTACAAAATACACCTCATTTTCAGTTTTAACCAATCTGTCCTCAGAGCCCGATGCCTCTTTCCTCTCTTCCCTAACAAAGTTGCTTTTGCCTCTGTGCACGTATGGTGGGCCGGCCTGTTGTGGAAGATCCTTTAAGATCTACTCTGCATTTAAAATACATTGGATTCTCCCTATCACTTTCAGGATCACATTTAAATTTCCTAAAAAAAATCCCACAAACCTTTTGCGACCCAGTCCTGTGCTCTGTATCGTGTTTCTCAGTCGCCTTCTCTTTTCTGACTTGAAACATGCTCCGTTGCGCCCCAGCACTTTGGAATGTGCTGCTCCATTTGCCTTTGATACTTCTCCTTGTTTTTCCTGTAGTGACTGCATTCTCTTCTCCCCTGAAGGCCTGGACCTTAAAAGTGCCTTTCTGGATCCCAGGACCAGCCTAGGGGCTCTGCTCCTGAAATAACTCCAGGTCCAGAACTGCTTCATGGCACTTTGTTTAGCCACAATCACTTGATTGCCGTCTGCCCTCCTCTCTTGCCCACAAGCTTTGTAAGGGCAAGGTCACGCCTGCTCTGTGTCTGGGGTGTCCAGTGCTCAGCACAGGGCCTGGTGCACATCGTGCTGTCCGCTGGCTCATTCGCCTGCCACCCTGACTGTCTCTCAGGGGCTTTCCGGGCCCTGCAGGTTCTCATTGTGCCCACTAGTGGGCGCCCTGGCTGGAGCCTGGAGGAGGGCCAAAGTCAGCGCCCCACCTTCCTGGCTCTCTGCTGCATACGTGTGTGGAGCAGACGCAGCTCCCTGAGCCAATGTCACTGTTCCTGTCTCTGTGAGCTTCTATCTGCTGGTTTTAAGAACTACTCCTTCTCCCAGTCCCTTGAGCCTAGAGGCAGCAACACTGCCTCTGAGATGGGGTTTCGGCTCTGCGCCCTGTTCCCTAATGTCCCCACCCACCCGGAAAAAACTGCTCCTCACTCAAGATTGCGTCCATCTGCTCTGGGGACTCCGACTATGTCAGGAAGAACGGGTGCCTGTTCTTCCCTGGGCTGGGCGCTGCCACCAGATCCTGCCTTCCTTTCCTGACACCCGGGTCCTTTACTGCCTTCCTCCCCTGGCACCTGTGTGGCTCTTAGACGGGCATCTCACCTCACCCTGCAGGAGTCACACGGCCAGGCTCCTGTGCCGCTGGGTCACCTGTCAGGGTCCTGGTTCTGCAGGATCAGCCGTGCTGGGTTCCCCAGGACCGGAATGGGAGCAGGCACCTCAGGCCAGCCACCTTGCTGCTCCCAGATGAGATGTTGGTCTTTCCTGGCCCCACTCAGGTTAGCCTTCTCTGTGGCCCAGGCTGCTTTAGAATTCCAGTTCTTAGCCTTTGTTACAAAACCAAAGCGACGATGACCATTCCTTACCAACTGTGCGACACATTTCCTGAACACCTGCAACCTCTGCCCACAGCCCAGACTCACTCAGCACAGATGTTAATGCAGCCCAGACCCACGCACTTGGCAACTCTGGCAACTGGGAAGGAGTTCTAATTCCAGATGGCTCAGACAGAGGCAGCTTGTCTGAAACTCTGCCATCTTTTCTTCTTCATTGTCGAGGTCCAAGCACTTCATCCCATGCCACATGGTTGACACTGAGGTGGGCACCTATGGAGGCTCTCGAAAGGGACTCTCCTGCTTCAGCAGAAGTGCAGACAGCTGTCAGACAACTGGATTATTTGGATAAACCAAATGTCACCTTTGTCTTTAACCACCTGCTTTGGAGGAGCAGAGCTTTCTGGACCTTATCAGCACACTGTCATCTCTGATGGCTTGGCATTCCGTGCATTTCTAAAAGTGTCAAGATGGTGGGGTGCAGGAGAGACAGATGAGGAGGAGGACAGGAAAGACAGGACTTGGAGTGCCTACGGGTGCACAGGAAATAGTCTTCCCAGGACAGCTGGGCCATGCTGGACTCAGAAAACTCCCAGGATCTGCTAAGTAATTTGTACTCCTTTCCTTCCTTCCATTAGCTGAGGCGTCTTCGTTGTTGTCACTCTTAGCTTTAATGGCATCGTGTTGCTATCGCTTTGTGCTTGAGCAGTGGTTTGGACACTGCCTGGTGTCACCCAGTCCCAGGGAGGAGGGGGAGCCAGGAGAAGGTGCGGGAGGTTTCCCTTCACACATCCTTGCAACGTCCTGTGACTCGATCGTTACTTCAAACTAAGAAATAGAAACGAAACAAAAGGGAAACCAGCATAAAGTGTTTCTCAGACTGTGTGTAAATATTTGTACACAGAGATGGGACATCTAAATCAGGGGCTGGCAAACTGATTCTGGAAAGGGCCAGATCACAGATAGTAAATGTTTTAAACTTCGTGAGCCACACGGTCACTCAACTGGGCCATCGCGATATGAAGCAAATATGTAAGCAAATGGGCCTGGCTGGCTTCCAGTGAAACTGTTTACAAAACAGGAAGTGAGAGATTTGTCCCCAGTGCCTCAGCCTGTCAACCCCAGCTAGAATCTGAGCATGAATTCGGACTCAAATGCTAATGAAGTAGCCTAGCATCGGGCTGTCTCCTCCTCCCTTCCCCTCTCTTTCCCCTCTCTCTTTTCTGGTATGTTTTCATTTTCCCCGTGAACATTTATTACTTACATTATTAAAAATAAGGTACGTGGCTGTTTATGGATGACTGTTTTTAGAACAAATGTGGAAAACTACCGAAGTGTCTCCCGGAGCTTGGCCCTTCCCCTTCACTGCTCACAAAGGTCACCCACACGATAGTCCCGAGGCAGGACCGCGTTCATGACCAAACCTGTGTGTGGATGATTATCTGGTCACTAACTGCAGTGTGGTTATGGTCAGCTGTGCCATGAATGCTGGAGCCATGAGACTGAAACTGATACGGATGATCAGAGGGAGAGAGAAAGCAATGCTTTCTGGAGTTGAATTCCGTCATGAGAGGTTTTCAGTGCTAGATACAGAAACACAGGCTCGGGTCTCCATGTAATCGCCAGCCCCATAATCCTGCTTTGGAGGAGGCAAGGGGAAGACAAACTCTTTTATTTTTAGGTTAATTCTGCAATGAGCAGGGTACAACGAAGGTGTTTCCTGAAGCTTTGAATTGGGGAGCAAAAATTGAAGCTGACGATGCTGGATTCCCGCCTCCAGCTGGGCTCTAGACAAAACAGTCTCCACAGACAGTTGCTTCTCCAGTTTTTAAAGTTCAACAGGAAAAGAGACAGAAGTTGAAGTTCTTTGGCAAATGCCTTCAAGTGATGAGAAACACTCCTGTTTTATATTAAGTTTAAACCCTTTCTGATGAAAATAGACCTCAGATTTACGATAGAACTTGATTTCCTAGTAGAAATGAAGCTCGCCTGCATGATGCATTCCTGGCCAAAGTCCTGAAGCTTAACATTTTATAGAAATGGTCCACAATAGTGTATTTAATCACTGATTCAGCTAGCTAGTCATACCCTGTCATGGAGAATGTAAACTTTGTAAAGCATGTATCAAGCAGACTAGGCTTATGGATTTAAAGCATACAATTTCCTTTATGGATAGCCCATCACCAGCTACAAAAAGATTTTCAGTGACATAGAAAGGAAATAAATAATAAAGCTAATAAAAAAGGAGACAGCAAATATCCTAATGATACAATTTAGAACCGTTATTGTGATTAAACACTCATGTTGGATATGAACTTTTTGGCAACCCAGGGGAAAAAGGGACATACAACTTGCAATCTTTTTAGATCAAAATAGAAAGATGCTAATTCTTTATTAAATTTGAAAAGAAAATGCCACGACACAGATTCTATATGGAGAATGATCAGTTGTTAACGGCTTATGAATAATCAATCATTTTTGGCTAGGGCACAGGTGTCTGAGAAATTTAACCACGTTTGTCATATCCCCATGTACATCACTATCACAAAAGGACAAGTTATTAGATCTCTATGACAGAAGAAATAGTGTAAATTAAGAACAGCCTGTCTGTAAATGCAGAAATGCAAACTACTTACGAGGAGAGTCGGATTACCTGTTTACAGAATTTTTCATAGAACTCCAAGCTGTGTCTAATTCCTGGAAACCTGAGGCCACTGTACACATCTTATCCCACTGGTCATGCTGCAACCCTGGGCCTGGACTCCATGGAAGAGCACCAGTCTTGTGTGGGCTTTCTTAACATGCCACCAGTGCACATCTCAGCTTTCTCTGGGCTTCACACTACTTCCCACTTAGCATGGATTTCTGATTCCTGAAGGGCCTCCTCCCACCTGCTTCCAGCTCAGAGGGCTGCAGATGACAAGGTCTTTCTGTTCCCCAAATGCCAAGTTTATGCTTGCCTCAGAGTGCTGGCCACTGCTTTCTTTGCTGGAGGACCACTCCTCACAGGAAGGGGTTCAGACTGGCCAGAACTGCCTCTCTCATCCTGTGGACACTGGCTTAATAAAGCCCTCCCATACCCTATCATGTTCTTATTTTCTCTCTTTGAACTAGATTAGAAGTTCCTGTGAGCAACGGCGTCCTCTGATTGCTCACTGCTAATTTTCCAGCCCCAGCATTCTACTTGGTGTGCACCAAACCCTCAGTCACTATTTACCACATCAGCGAGTGAATAGCTCACACAGGGCTAGGACTCCACCTCTGGAAGATGACCCTTGATACATCTCTCAAAGGATCTTCCTGGTAGTGTCCTAGCTTCTGGTTGGGGACCAATGCATTTATCTTCTGATGGACAGAAGAGTGAAGCACTCAGGGATCTAAGAGTCCTTTGCCAGGCCACGCCAGTGCCCAGGTGATGGTGCCTTTGCTTGGGGAAAGGGGCAGCTTATGGCCCGCGTGTTCTGGCATGCTACGCTCTACACAGCAGAATGAGCTCCTGTATGCTAGGAGGGCCCTGTCTGCCATGTTCTTGGGGTGGTGTGAGGGTGTGAGTTCACACGCACCGTCATTTTGGCCCACATCAGCCTTTAGAAAGATTCCTGCTGCATGTAGAGTATGTGGCTTTGGGTTTCCATGACCTTCTCAATTTCAATTGTTTCCCAGATATTCTCTCCTTTGATCCCTCCAAAGACGTCTGAACTCATATACCACAGGAGCTAATTTTCAACTTGGAAAATTTGATCATAATAATTGTAGACCTATAGACTTCTGCCAGTTTGCAAGACATGTGGATAAGATCATCCCAGGCTGCAAAAACGGTGAGCACAGCTTATCAATATAGACTCTTGGGTTTCTCTTCTTATCTTCTATGTGAGTCATATGTTTTCTTTCAATGCCTGTATACCACAAGGAAGTTCAAATATTACTAAGAACGTTTCTTCCTCCAAAGTGATCCCACTATACTTTGTCACAATTAAACACAGCTCTGATATCATCGTCAACATTTGGGGGACTCAATAATGAGAGAACAGAGTTTTATTGTGAGGTGCATGCTGAGGGATGACTTGGGGTTTTCAGTGATTAACAGACTGGTTCCTTCCCATTGATATTGCAACATAAAGCAAATTTATGGCCACAGCAAAACGATGTTACTATACCTCTAGCCTGGGGGTCTCTAAAGGAATAAATAGACTGAAATACCAATTATAAGTCCACAAATACTGAGATCCTAAGTACCTACAAATGGAGCTGGATTACTATGTATTAGGATTATCTACTAGGATTATTTGGATTATCTAGCATGAGCTCACCAAAAACAGATGTCTCTGCCTTACCCATTTTCCTTTGCTCAGGGCTTGGAGCACAGAAGGCAATTGCCAAACATTTACTGACTTAAATGGATGGGAACAAGTCCTACATTAAAGGTGCTCTCTTGTCAATACCAACAGTTCCACCATCAGTGACGTAGTTCCTTCTATTAGGCGCTATTCTTTTCCTCTTTTCCATTTTCAAAGCCGAAAGCTAAAAGCCGGTAGGAATGGTACAGAAGAGGGCACTTCCTTCAAAATGCCCTTTATTTTTCTATTTCTGCTGGCCCCTAAAAGTCACGCAATTAAAAACTAACACAACAGCTCCACCTCCAGCTACTCACCCACATCAGCTGATGGCTACCCTTTGGAAAGGGTCTAGAAGCCTCACCCCTTGGCGGAACGCAGGTGTAGGCCAGCAGGCAGGGCCCTCCCTGAGCGAAGCTGACATTTTGCCCACTAGAGGGCAGTGGTGCCCATGCACAGTGCCAGTCGCTCCCTGGGTCTGCCCCGGTGTCCAACCTGGTTGCCCATAGGACCCTTCACTCAGTTTGTCTCCTGTGGGCTTCTTAGCTATTTGAATTCGCAAACATTTCTGCAAAGAAGCACACACATACATACAATATTTTTGAGCTTAGAGGGAAACAGTAGGCCGGCGTGGCAAACCTAGGGCATGCATGTGGCAGTGGGCCTTATCACTGAAAGCTCTAAGAGGTTCGCCCTTCCAGATCTGGGAACATAATGGACAGATCAGCGAAATTGCCAGGGAGGAAAATAGAACACTTTTTTGGGATATGGATGGAGACACAAAATGAAAGATGAACTAGCATGACCATTACACTGTAAAAAGAGAGAACATTTTAACCTTTCCCAAGGAAGAAGGAATAAATCTCACTGTTACAGCCACAGCCCACCAGAGCAGTGCTGTATGGTAGCTACTCTGCAAATACAGTTGAATGTAAGTTGTTGCATGAATTGCAGATGAAGAAGCTCTTAAATTCAACAAGCTTATGTGAAAACTTTACTTTTATCATGGGATTTAGGTTTTGATTTGCCTAAAGAAAACTTTCTCATGGACTAGAATTTGCCAGCCAATCACTTCTTTTTTTTTTTGGTACTGGGGATCGAACTTGGGACCTTGTGTTTTCAAAGCAGGTGGTGGAACCACTGAGCTAAATCCCCGGCCCTAGCCAATTGTTTCTTGATGAGCTTGGCCCCGAATAACATCTGCATCTCTCGGCATAGGCACAAAGCCTTGCCCAGTGACTCCCAGCTTGTTAAAAGCAAGGCCTTGGACATCTGCTGCCACGGTCTCTCCTGCAGTGGGCTGACAGCTTGGAGGAAGAGGTATAATTTAATGTGGTGCTGGAAGATGACATTTGTTTTTCAAATCTTTTACTTTTTCTGTTGAAGTCAGAAAAAGTGAGCGCCGTGCTGATGTGCTTTTAACACCGGCTAACACATGGAATCGCTTCCCTTTGCAGAGCAAGTGTGAGCCTGGGGCTCGGAGACTTCTCCAGGCGACGTGTCTAGTGAGGATTCCCACCCCAAGGCTTCCTGTTACTGCATCTGGATGGCATTGTGATCCTCTACTTATGACAAGCACAACTGGCTTTCATCGATAGCAGCAGTTTTACAAGTGTTTGTTTACAAGTTAAATGAATAGTGTGAGTCAAGGCAAAGGAAAAATAGGATGCAAATAGTAGCAGGAAGATAGTGCTGAGAGGCAGAAAGTATCGTAGTGGGAAACACTGTGGTTCCGGGGAAGTGTGGCCTGGGTGCTGATCTAGCTCCTAGCTGTGTGACCATGGCAAGTCACGCAAACACTCTGTAGTTTCCTCTCTGAAAAATACGGGAAGTAATGAACCAACCTTAGAGGCTGCTGTGATGACTGAATGAGTTAGCAGGTGGAAAGCAGTACAGCAAGGTCCCTTACCGCACAGAGCACGTGTTCTGTAAGGGTTAGCGAGGAGGAGGAGGAGGAGGAGGGTGATGGTGAAGACGACAGTTATGAGCTTCAGTAGGGTCTTAGCCATTGATGTTTAGGCTGATGGCACAGAAAGAACGGCACAGTGTTTTCCTGAAGAAAGGGAAGCAAATGCAAGAAGTGATCCACATCCACGATGCCCAGGTTTCTAGGAAACGAGAAACATTGGGTCCGGAGACTGAAGTGCGTGGTGAAGGTCTATGTTTCTTTCCATAGTGACTTCTGCAGGGCAGGCACTTGTCTTATTAACAGGAAGAAGGGCAGCATTCACCAAGTGCTGACTCTGGCCCAGGCTTGGGGTGAACACATTCTATCCCCGTGCTTCAAAAATCTGCCTCCATTTCTCAGAGGGGCGAACTGAGACTCGGCAGAGTTAAACAGTTCAAGGGCATGACTGCCAAGCAAGCGATACCGTGCAGCCCTCTAGCTCATTCTCATGCCTAAGTCTTGCTTGTGACTCTGGCCACGGTGGCCTGGCCCCCTCTGTGGCTTCTTCCTACAATGCCTCTCCTAGATCTGAGTGTGGACGCCTCCCTCTCGCCTGGATGCAGCTCTAATGCCACTGCCCACAGGGCCGTCCTGGATGGCGTTAGTAAATGCACTGCTGTCGTTCCTCCCAACCCCTGTGCACAGTCCGTTCCAAGACGGCACAACATGGAAGGCATGAGCCAAACTCTGGGGCCAGAGCTTTGTGCTCTGGATGGAAGTTCTAACTCTTGTATAAACACCCTGTGACTTACTTTCCCTATTTGCAAAATGGGAATATAACCACAGTTTTCTTGTGAGCTTTCCATGTATTAAATGTATATATAAAGTACTGAAAATGTCAGGCACGCGGTAAGAACTCAGTAAGCTTAATATTTCTTTATCGTCATTCTCCACTAGAGCATAAATTCTGCAAGGGTGCCACTATATACTTGGCTCTTTTGCATTGCACCTGGTACCTGGGACATAATAGGCGCTTACTAAACATTAGCCCAATGAGTGAGAGTGTGAGTAAATGTTTAAGACCTCAGCCCTGCTGGGGGCTTAGTGATAGAAAGGCGAACAGGAGCCCAACAGCCCCCCCGACCCTGGAAGCACACAGCACTCTGTCCCAGGATGCCAGCCCTTTCCACCCCCCTGGCCCTCCACCCAGCCAGTTCTGGGTACCACCCATGCTAGGCTCTCTTGCCCTGTTCCGAGAGAGGAGCATTTGCAGCCAGTCATTGGATGCCCTTCAGATCCTTGCGTGGGACAGAACCACCGTCCTCATGTCCAAGCTCTAAGCAATGACATGGAAGACAGCTGGCCCCTGAGTTTGAGAAGACTTGAGTGCCTTACAGAGAGGCACAGCTGTACTGAGTAAAGCCCCTACTTCCAAAAAGGCTTTGGGAAGACCCATCCTTTGGCCCTCCTGCCAAAAGGAACGTTCTATAGTGCTCTTTGCCCTCTCTACCTACCTCTCGCTACCTCTTAAACTTTTATGCATCCTCCAATGCCCAGATCAAATTCCGCCTTCTGTTCGGATGCTTCCCAACCTCCCTGGCTGAGTCAATTGTTTGTTCTTCGAAGATCTCAGCTCATATTTACCTTCCTTGTGTTACGGTTAGCTTATTCATCTAGTCATTCGCTTACTAAACACGCGCTGAGCTCCTACTACACGTCAGGCTCTGTGCGTTAGGAAGATAAGCAAGTGGAAGGCCTCTGCCACGTGCAGCCTTCAAACTGATCCCCATTGCAGCCCCAGACTTCCTGAAGGCAGAGTCGCAATTTCCGACCTGTGGCAGAGGGGCCCATCTGGAGCAGATGCTCCGCCTCGCAGACCAGAGATGGATTAACCGAGTATGGGAAGGACGCATAAATTCGTGCCTCAGAACATGGGCCGCCTGTGCAAAAGGAGGGCTCCCAACCGGCAATGTCTTTTTCCCCTTGAATGATGAAGGGGGCGCTTTCTGCAAGAAAACCAACATTGCTCATCGGGCCTTGGAATACGACTCCCTCTGACACACGCCTGCCTGGGAAGATCCATGCATGTTGCAGAAATTTGTATTCTCACAGGCCTGGAATGCACCGCTGGACTCAAGGCCTGGATGCTGATGTCAAAGCGGGCTGTAAAAGGACTTTTTCCTTTTGCTGACTGGCATTCATGAAAGTTCAGCTGGAACTTGCCTCTGGGTTGGGAGTGGGGTGAGTAACATCTTCATTTCAATTATTTCACAGCTGCCTTTTCCCGCAGCCCACGTGGGCTGCTTCTGTGGTTGGCAGAGATCAATGGGGTCAATATTTTTGACTGCAGAGCTTTCTATGACTTACAAATATTTAAAAGGATAAAACACAATCAACCATTCTCTGTGTGAACTTGGCCATTCTAATCCCTATCTTTGATTCTTTGGGATCTGGCAAATAGGAGAAGTAATTCCCTAGCACATCTTGCCCAAGCCCAGGGAATTCAGCCTGGCTGGAACTTTTTGATACTGTGGCTTGGATTATAGGAGCTTCTTTCACTCTGGGAAATTAGGCTGGAAAAACTAGACATTTGCAGCATTTGGGAATATCAGTGGCCCTTTTCTTGGACCATTGCCTTTTGCTAAACACTGCCCTGCTTTCTTACACTGTTATTAACCGAATAATGAGTCACCACTCTCAGGGGTATTCGTTTCTTAAAAGGCGCTACTCAAAGCCAGCGTTAAGCCAGGGTACTGAAGCTTTACAGAATGCTATTTGAAAAAATAAAAGGAACGATTAATTGTGATGACTTTCACCTGGAGCAATTTCTCCTCCAGTCTCACATTATGGAAAGGACAGTGTGAAGCAAAAGAGCAGGGATCAGCAAACTTTTTCCATAAAGGGACCACCAGTAAATAATTTCTTCTTTGGGAACCAAATGCGTTGTCACAATTGCTCAGTGTGTAGTTACAGCGCAAAAGCAGCCACACGTAAACAAACGGGCGAGGCTGGGTTCCAGCTCAACTTTTTGGAGGGACATGCAACTTTGAACTTGGATTTTCACATGTCATGAAATAGTCTTTTATTTGGATTCCTTTAATTTTTTCCAATCGTCTTTTGTTGTTGTCGTTACTGGGTATCAAACTCTGGACCTCACGCTTGCGAGGCAGGCATGGTGCCGCTTAGCTAAATCCCCAGCCCTTTTTCCAATCATTTTAAAGAATGTGAAGACCATTTTAAACATTCTACAAAAACCTGAGCAGGGCCGTGGCCCATAGGCAGCTCACCTTCGCAAAAGAAAATGATAGGGATCTGGATTTAAGGTCAAGCAGAGGGAGAGTTGAATCCTGGCCTGGCCAACTTTTGCTAATCGAACCCTGGCAAGATGAATAACTTGCATGAGTCTTGATTTCCCCATCTGTGAAGTGGGACTAAGAACAGGATCTATTTCATGGTTGTTTTGAGGATCCATGGACACAATGCCCATAAAGTGCACAGCATAATGCTTGCAACATATTCGGGGCTAAATTCAAATGTTTCATAAAAACTTTTTGAGCAGTCACAACGGGATGGCAGTGTGTCTGGCTCCAAGTGTTTAATGGTTTGTCTCACTGAACTTCAAATGAGTGGGGCTGATGAAAATTGTTAGCTATTATTATTGTGCTTGGGCTTTGTGAAAGACAGGCGAGGACTGTAGATCATTAGACAGTGTAATGTGTCATTACTACAGATTTTGTTTCCAAAAGCAACTCAAACTCCCAGCCTCCCCTTATATCAGGTTATTTTCCGACCATTTGCAGTCACCGAAACGAAGCCCTGTGTGCCCGAGGTGTCTTCGCAGTCAGGACTAAGGGCTCTCAAAGTGTGGTCTCTGGTGGAGCAGAACCAGCGTCACTTGGGAATCTGTTAGAAAGTCTACCTCGTCTGCACCACTGCAGAGCTACTGGATCTGAAACTTCAGGCTGGACAGAAGTCTGGTTTAACAAAGCCCCAGATGTTTCTGAGTCACACAGATGTGAGTTTGAGGACCACTGTCCTAGACAGACTGCAGGTGTACTTGCATGTTCAGAGTCATAGAAACACCAGGGAATGACAGAGTCGGGATTCAATCAGAATCTCATTATGGGACTAGAATGTGCTGGTTCAAGGACAGGGCTTATTCATCCATGGCAAAGGCATTTTGTGCATGTGCGTGTGTGTGAGTACAGTTCTGTTCCACTTCCCTTCTCCTTCTCCATTTGTTCAGGCTCCAGATACTGTGGACTCCTCTTGCAGCATTTCCTGCCTTGGCAGTGACACGGCAGGGAGACGAGTGGTCTGCCTTAGGGGTAGGGAGTATTTGTTGATAGATATCATGAGAGCCTTTCCTGGGTTTCCTAGTCCTTACAAAGACAGTCAACTTCCAGCTGGACATAGTGGCACACACCTGTAATCCCAGCACTCCAGACGCTGAGACAGGAGGATCACAGCAAGTTTAAGGCCAGCCTAGGCTATAAAAGGAGACTCTGTCTCAAAAAACCGTAACACAAAACAAAAGGAAACAAAAATGAAAAACAATGCACTTCTTCATTGCCTGCCCCCAGGGTAGGACTGCTCCCACATCCGCCTTATGTGCCACTTTACTTGCATTAACTTATCTGTGTTCCTTGTTGCCTTTCTGTAAAATGGGCCTTTGAAAATCTCATGAACAATTTTCATAAGGGCCTCATTAGCTCTTGTTTTTGACTGCCATCCTGGCCTTGTCTTTCTGTCATTTATGTCAGCAGCTGCTAGTTGATCTCTGACATCCATTCTTCCTTCTAGTTATTTATTTATTTATTTATTTATTTATTTATTTTTACTGGGGATTGAACTCAGGACCTTGCACTTGTGAAGCAGGTGGTGGAACCACTGAACTAAATCCCCGGCCCCCTTCTTTCTTTTATAATCAGACCCTTTGACTTTTAGTTAGATACATGGTCATGCAGCTGAAGACTACAGTTCCCAGCCTTCCTTGAAGCTAAGCCTAATCATGTGACTAGTTCTATCCAATGGGATGCCAGCAAAAGTGGGCAGCACTCTTGGATGGAATGAACATGCATTCCTTTTTTCTGTTTTCCTCCTTTCTGCAGGCTAATGTAGAATGAATACTAAAGGAACCAGGCATCACGACATTATGAATCCACCTTCACTGGTCTTAGAAATGCTTCTACTTGCATGGTAGATAAGAGAGAAGGAAAGTCTTATATAAATGTCTGTTAAATGACCAGAGTCTGTTTCGTAACTAATGCATCACTTTTAAAGACAAAGCTTAATTGGCATTTCCTCCATGAGATTTTCCTGTTCACTCACCCTATCCCAACACCTCAACAGAAAGAACCCACCTTCTCTATCCAAGGGTACTCTGAAGTCACTGCCTATTCTAAAGAGAGGGCAAACAGGGCCAGGGATGTAGCTCAGTGGCACAATGCCTGCCTGGCAAGTGCCAGGTCCTGAGTTCAATGCCTGGTACCAAAAAAAAAAGAGAGAGAGAGAGGGCAAACATATGCTTTCTTCACTGGCACCCTGAGGATACTAAAACTATACGAAATATGTTAATAAATAATAAAATGAGTTTAGCTTTGATGAACAGCCAGAATTATATAATCAAAAAATCAAGAAATAATTTATTTTCAGCACATGTCCTTTTCTTGTCATTTCAAAACATAAAATATTATTTTGAAACGCATTTGGAGGGAGTGGAGGGCACAGTAACGTTTCAGTCCTTAGGGCTGCTAAAGACCTTAATCGAATGCGTTGGTATTCCCCAAATTATTTCATCACCGCTCTGGCTGCATTTACGGCAACCCTCCACAGTCCTGCCCTACTCCCTACCAAACACCCTGAGCACTTCCAGGGACCCGTTATTTTTATTTCACTCACTTCATCTTGATTGTGCACCTTTCGTTATTCATCGAACACCATGCTGGGTACCTGAGGATGCCATGGATACACTTCAGATCTCAACACCGGCCAGTAGCCAGGTAGCAGGTGAGAGGGTGACAGTTCCATCCATGCCTCCGTGTGGGTGGACGTGGCTGGGGAAGAAGAGGCACCATTCTTCTGTACCTTCCTCAGCACATGGCTCAGAAAGTTTGAGCATTATACCAAGTTTTCGCAGCCGTGGAAGGGCTATTTCACACACATGAAAGGGGAAGCCCTACCTTCCAGCCAGCCACGCTGGGTTTTCCCAGTTCCTTGACCCTCCCACCATATCCCACTCTCTTTCAAAGGGTCTTAGTATATGATATTCCCTCTGCTCTAAGACCCTCTTCTTCAACTCCTTTTCTGTGGTTCTTTCACCTAACTGATGCATTCCCCCTCTAAAGTCTGGCTTAGCATCGATTCTCTGGGAGACCTCTATTTCTCATACCAAGTCGAGTCCCTACAATCTGGCATCTGCCCTTTAGACTTTTCCTTTATAGCATTTGTTGCAAGTGTAATTGGTTAATTATTTTTTACTATCGATTTTCCTTGCTAAAAC